ATTTGTGCTGCCTGCAGGCCCGCAGCAGTGACGTCCGGTGGCAGCCCGTCCCTCTGGGATCTGCGTTCCTGGCACACGAGCTGTCTCCGGCCTTGTCAGAGATGCACTAACTTTTCTGCTAACAGAAAAAGCTCCCTGCACTTCAGAAAGTGCAGAAGAAAAAAAAAACCCAAACTCAACCTTAAACGAAAAAGTTGCAGGGCTAAACACATCAGGGCCCCTCTGTGCAACAGGCACCATACGGCATTTGCAACGCGCTCTTTCCTGGATCCCTCGCAAGTTTGCCTCCAGCCCCTTTGAGGGCAATTGTGGGTAAGTTGTCAGCATCAGAAACAGCACTGTACTTGTCGTCCTAGAGCCCTCTTGCTGATGTCAGGGCTTTGGACTTTGTTCACACTAAGTGGGGGAAGAAAGTCATTGCTGGAAAGCAGTTTTTACCCAGCTTGATTTGCCAACTCCTCCAAAATCAACAGGATGACCACATACCTCTATTTTCAACAGGTTTCCTTTACCTAGACCAGTAGACTGCTTCTGTTCATTTCTTCTTCCTTTACACGAGCAAAAGCTCATCGTCTTCTCTTTATTAGCTGTTGGTTTGTGCTTTGTAGTTTGGCTTCGGCACTCTCCAAACGTCAACATTTCCCTAGGGAAAACAGAACGCATTGAGAAAGCTGTGCGAGCCGGGGAGCCCTCCTTGGCTTGCATCTTTCACCCATTTAATCTGCGCAGCTCCCAAGCAGCAGGCTGCACAGCTACAGAGACCACAACAACCGCAACGACAGCTTAAGCTTCCCAACCTCAGGATTCATCCTGATTTTCCCAAGAGCAGGCCCTGACGAACAGAGGACGGTGAAATGATTTCCCTCAGGGTGTTACAGTGCTCGGTCTCCTAATAGCCAGGCCTGTACTTTAAGGCATTTTTCCTTTGCAAATGGAAATCGCGGAACTGCAAAGTTTAGAGAGGCCTCTGCCCGAGCCCAAAGCACATCTGGGCATTCATCTGTCATTTGCAGGAGAACAGAGGGCAAACAAAAACGACTCAGAAACCCGATGGTTTAACAAGTGCTGGGTTACAAACCGCCTGAAACCTCCTTCACACGGTTCATGCTTCAAAGCTATCTGTCAGGCTCAGTCAATCACCATCACAGCTCACAATAAAAATCTGTAATAACTGGCTTATGAAGACCAGCATTAACATCTTCACCTCTGCACCCACAAGAGTGTCAGCGCATCCAGGATCACAGCAAGGGCCCAGATCCGGAGTGCAGACCAACTGGCACGTAGAGTGCCTCAAGGGTAAAAGCCCTCTGAAGGGCCAGTACAAATTAGGAACAACTTACAAGTGCCGTTTTCTTCCTCCTGGAAAAGGCTCTCCGACTGCTCCATCCCAGTGATACCTGGAAACGTGGCAAAGGGTTTCCCTGGATCTGGCTGCTTCTACAAGACACAAGAACAACCCTCCTCCCCCGAAAGTCTCACTACAAACCTTCTTTATGAAGTCTTAAGATCTGAAGAATCTAGACTGCATCTGTCCAGCCCTCCCGAAAACAGGAGCCACCCTGTGTAAACCAGAAAAAAGCAGCTCCCCATTCCCGCGAGGCCCTTGCTTGGCGGCTAGGCTCCCAGCCCGCCTTTCAGAAGGAGCCTGTACTGCAGGCTCAGATCGCATGGCCTTGGAAGGCTTGCCTAAAAGCTGACTGCAGACGAGAAGTTTGTAGATAAGTCTGGAAAAACAGTCAGTCAAGTATCTACCAAAAAAATTGGGACACACACACACACACAAAATAAAACCAAAGCCAACCACAGCACCTCCCCCCAGGCAAGCACTCTCTTCTTGCAGAACGCACCCCTGAAAATTAAGGGTCTGGTGCATGGAAACAGCCAGACCTACCTTTCTTTGTAACTGAAGACACTTCACCT